CTCTCTTATGAAGAGAGCATGGGGAGTTCTACGTCGTTGCACATTTTATCACCTTGAGCGAAAGCTCGTCTCGGAATGAAAAGGTGTTGAGCGAATGTTTCAAACCTTAAAACTGGGGGAAACATTTTTCTCCTCATAAGAAAGAAAAAAAAGAAAAAACACGCGAAAAACAATGAGCGATTTAAGAAAGTATATGTACATCAGAAATATGAGTTTTACTGGGAAAATGACGCAGAGGAAGGTAGAGATTCGTAAAAGAGTGGGGGTTTTGCATTATCCTGTGACCCAGATAAGCGTAACACCCATTCAATAACATTTTATAGACAAAGAAAATGAGCTAAAATTGCTTTTAGTTAAAAATACATAGACGTTAGAAAGGTTAAAAATGAATATCCGTGGGTTAAAAAAGTCGTGGGTGAAAAAGCGAGGATGCATAGCTACTGAAGTGAATAGACCGCTCACGAAAAAAAAGAGGCAATGGTTAAGTCCCGACTGTTGGATGATATGGACATATTTCCGATTAATTATGGTAGTGCCCAAATGGATTGGGTTACTGACCCAAACGTTGCGGTACTGCCCCAACTTGAGTTGTGGTGCTGCCAAAATTAATTAGATATGTCCAGTTGTCCAGATCATCCAAGAAATTGGGGCAGTGCCACAATTTAGGAGCAGGATAACTACTGACACTTGTTTTTCCGTGTGAGTTAATTATACTGTCATGCTAAGGAAAAACGCCGAAGCCTTCAGACGTTGCAAAATTTCCTCTGACAAATCATGAATATCCGGGAAAATTTCCGAATATTTTTCTTCCTATTTTTCAGAGAATTTTGTTCGTAATTTGATTTGAAGTGTCTGAAAATGTCGATGAAAACTATTCATAACTTTTCTCAAAAATTAAAATTCTATTGGAGGAAATTTGACGACTCTCGAATGTTCGTACGGCGTTTTTCTTTAGCACGACAGAACAGTCCTATGCACTACAAAAATGCAAAAAAAAACCAGGTTCAGATTATATTCTTTGTACGATGCGATTAAATTACATTTCAGGTGCACACATTTTCCTTCGAGGGGCAAATTTAACATAAATTTAATTTTTAATTAGTATAATTCGAACCCATGGAAATGATTTTATAAAATCTTCAGCAGTTTTGAAATTATAAAGTTTTTAACAGTTATCATGATGATAATTAGAATAACAACAACAACAAAAATCAGTTTTCAGCTATTCACTAGTTGTATTGTTATTCAACTTTTTACAAAAACAAGAAATAAGTAAGATCAGATATTTTATATGAGGAGACGAACTATCGGCTTGAACCTTTGATTTATCAATTTGAATTATTTTTATTTTAATTTTTAATAAAATTAATGAGCCTAAGATTTATAATAAATCTATGTTTATAATATTGATACTGTAAATACTAATTTTCTACAGATGAAGTTTAATAATATTTTACTTAATATTCAAGATTTCTATGATTATTTTGTTAGGGTGACCGAAAATTATTAAACCGTGCCCAAAAACCGCTCGAAACAGTTAAAAGCTCCGTCGTCGCGAAAGAAGCGATGTCCTATTTGAGCCCACCTCGTCATAACACAGCCTGAAGCTGTCGCAAAAAATACCCCATCTGGGATGTGAAAAATGTCACGAATGGCTGGGCTGCACTAAAAAATGGACATATGAGTGAGATTACGCTACGGACAGGCTTAAACCTTAGGTTTTTCAGCCAAGTCTACATTTAATCCGGCGGATAATGTTGCTAGCATTGTTGCAGTGCGAAACGGAGTCGTTTCTCCGCATGAGAAAAGTAATGCAGAATTAGTAAGTTAACTGCGGTATTAGTAGGATTCGTTCCTAGTCCGAATATAAACCATTCCGCTTATTTGCAACAGCTGCCCCATTTCGCTCCATCCGTGCAGCCACGTTGCCAAATCACTAATTTATTTCTAGTATCTGATTTCAGTTTGACAAACTTAGATTGTAAGATGTCAGTTAAGAATGTATTAGAAATCGGAAGGAGGAGAAGATGACAAATTAAAAAGAGGAGAAAGATACGAGGAAGTGGATAAGGAAGAAGATAATTAAAGATAGTAAGGAGAAAAAAAGATCGCAATCAACGATAAGAATTTCTATTTGCTCGTCCTTTCATTCCTATTCCTATTCTTCTCCTTCTCCTCCTTATTTTCTTTTTCTTCTTTTCCTTTTTCTTCTTCTGGCTCCTCTTCTACTTTTTCTCTTAATTCCACTCACTATGCCCTTCTCCTTATTAAATGTAATTTTCATTTCCTATTTTTCTTCAATTTCTTTTCCATTGTCTTATTCCTCTTACAAAAGGAGAAAGAGAAAGAGGGAGACAACGGAAAAGACGGTGAAAGAAAGAAAGACGAGCGGAAATAAAGAGACTGGCCGGTGAAATAAATATCGGTGAGTAAATATGAAAAGGGAACATAGGATGAACAGAGAAAGTGAGAAGAATGGAAAAAAATTACATAGTAAACAGAAACGGGGGAGGGGGAAAAAAGGGAAAATGGACAAATTACTCGAATGTGATCGAAGTCCATAACCCTATATCATAGACTCACAAGCGCAGAATCGAAGTGATAATAACGCTGATTATCAGTATCTTTGTATTGGCGTTTTTTCAACTTTTCGGGCCCGTTTTACATCAAGGGCCGTAAATTTTGCATCAGTTTTTCTTCGTTCGAACTTTCCAACTCGTACTTCTTTTTTCCTCTAGGAAGAGAGCATACAAATTGGCATACATAAAACAGTAAAAAATAATGTTTCATCATTTGTCGGGAAAATTACGGAGGATTTTTAAGTGTCCTAATCGCTTTACCCGCATGAAATGGGCAGTGAAAAAGTGCAACGTCTGATAGTGAGATATAAGTGTGTTCTACCTCACCATCGGTGACGAGACAATGTGTAACTACACAGGAGCAAGAGTGTAATCTTGGCGGCAATCGTGATCTTCTGTCATCAAATCAAGGTGATATTCTCGAAGGCGCTCCGAGCAACTATTCCGCCACAGAAGTATTGCTCAGTATCAGACGAAATTGTAGGCGCACTAACGAGTGCGAATCGATTGGTATCGTTTACCACTGAACAGAATCCTACAAATCTTGCGATGTGCGGTTGCTATCCGTTCGATTTTTGTGGAACTTGGTCCCAATGGATATTTTTTGACGGAGAACATGAATTGGAACTCAAATTTTCAAAACTCGAAAATAAAAGGTGGCGAACGTGGCTTAAATGCTATCTCGGCTCCAGATCGATCGATTTTTATGAAATTCTGTACTTAGATAGAGGTATTTTCTGGCGAGAATCTCCAGTCACATTTTCAAAATTCCGAAGTCCAACATGGTGGACGTGGTCTAAAATACTATCCTCACGCCTTCAAAATTATCCAAACCTGTATTGAGATATCTATTATTTTTCTTTTCAGCTTCAAAACCAATGTACTCCAAGCTAATTTGGACCTCAATATGAGGGCGCTCTTCAATTTGTTTGTGTTAAAACTGATTATTGCATGTAATTATTTTTTGTTCGCGTTACAGAATGAAGAATGTAAAAAATCTAAGAGAAATGAAATATTATGAGGAAACACTGGAGAAAGGAGTGAAAAATAAGAAAAAGGAAGAAAAAAGAAGAGAAACAGATGGGGAATAAACCCCAATGATGCAAAATGATCGAAACGCAGGAGAGAAAAAATGAAAAGGGAAATCAGGATGAAAAATGCAAAAAAGCACGACGAAAAAAAAAAAAGAGGACAAAAAGAACAATCACCCAAGAATTGGATTTTAGACGCAGCGCAGCGGGCGACAACGTGGGTAGTGTCGCCGGGCCAGCGGATCCTTTTCTAAACAAAGAGATTACTCGCCGGCAGAAAGGTGAATAAGAAGATTACGGAAGATGATAATCAAGCTTGACCTGAAAGCGGCGGCTTAGTACTTTTTGCCCGGCTGGAACTGGATCAAAAGCGGGGGTGGAGGAGGGCGGGAGCCTCCCCGCACCCGCGCCCTTTTTTATGCACCCGGAATTTATTTCGTCCGGGGACACTGGAGGAGTGGCGGTTCATTTGGGTCCCGGTTCCGCTAATCAGCGGTCGTCGGAAAGTTTTTTGGCAAGTTCCGGGAGAAGTTCCGGCCGCCTCAAAGGCGTAACTTGTTGTTTCGGCGCGGACGACCGGGATCATTAGCCGCCCTGCATTTTCAGACAAAAGGGCGCCGCGCAGATTTCCCGCGTTTCCCCCGCGACGGATCCCGCGCCCGCCCGCCCGCGCGACTCTGATTAAAGGGGCTTCTGTTCGGACGGATGCGGGATTTTTGTTCGCGGCGTGTCGAATCTGCCAAAACTAAAGAACGAAAATGAGTCGTAGGGTCAATGCAACGTTTCTCGGACGAAGGAACGTAACTGCATTCCAAGGTTGCCAAAATGACTGAAAAAATTCAATTTTCGGATGCAGATATCTCCGCAATTTTCATTGAAAGATTTTCTGATTTTTGTGCGAGATCAGGAGAAAATTTGGAGCAATTTTCAGCTACAAACTCATAAACTCATACTTTTTTTGTTGCTGAAAATTGCTACAAATTGTCTTCTGATCTCATAAAAAAAATCAGCAAATCTTTCAACGAAAATTGCAGGGAAACATTTATGCGAAAATTGAATTGTTTGAGTCAATTTTGCAAATGGGAATGCAGTTATGTTCCTGCAATTTTTTGTGTGTCATTTTTCCTAAAATTCGTACGTCAATGAAAGCTTTTCCACTATTCTAATGACTTAAATATTCAAATACATACGCCATTCAAGCGGTAGAAGAAAAGCTTGCCGGTTTATGGAACAGATTACCTTTTCCGCTGAGTTTCCCTGATATTTTTTATTCCCTGATTATTCCCGGTTTTTTCTTGGTCATAGACACCAGAAATCTCAAAAAAATTAGAGCTAAATATCCAATCAATCGAGAATTAGGTTAGATACAAAAATAATCGTCAGTACTTACATTTGACGCGGAGGTTGAGGGACTGGCTGGCGGTTTCTCCCTGCTCGTTGCTAGCCAAACACGTGTAGGAGCCACCGTGTTTCCGGTTGACGCCTTGCAGGACGAGCGAGTGCGTGCTCAGTATCACGCCTGACGAGACGTTCTGCCAAATCTGCGCGCCCTGCACAGTCACCATAAAAAAGCATCCATGAGATCAATTGACTTCATTCTATAGAATGGCTGTTCGGTCTAACTAACTCGTGTTACCGAAAACAGCCTGCAGTAACGACCATTTTTAAAAAGAAGAACACCACCAATTAAGATTGGATAAGCTAAATTCATTTTCGTTCTCCATTGGCCCCTACAAACCTAACTGGGATACTTCACGCATTGCGCAATGCGCGCACTAGCGCCTACAAACCTAACAGGGATACTTCACGCATTGCGCAATGCGTGAAGTATCCCTGTTAGGTTTGTAGGCGCCAGTGCGCGTTCCGCGCTGGCAGCACGCCGCGCCATTCTGTTTGGCTCTAATATTTAAACTCGCGGAGTCAGCGTTTTTCAAAACATGATTTTGAAATGTCTGCACACTCTGCATGGAATATTCTCATTTAAATTGATGAAGAAAATGCAAAAGAGAATATACTGTGTGTTTTGTAAATATTAAGGTGGTTCCGTGTCAACTTTAATGATTTCCAAGCACTTAAATTTTTTATTTTGTGTCTTTACTGTGCTGCAGTGTGGTGTGTGCGCAACCAAACGTTCAATATTGAACGCACTTCACTCTAAAAGATTCACGTACAAATGGGTTAAGACCAAAATTTGCTTGCTTCTTAGGTTTTTTTCTTTTATTAATTTTTGTATAGTTATTTTCAACACAACTACAGCGCATTGAGATTAATATCGACGCCAGATGAGGTGGAAATGTGCATTCCGCTGATTGATGAAAAAAAAATGGTAGACACTATGGAATGCACTACCGCTTTCGATAACGCCAATGGCGATATCTCTGTTAATATTGGATGTGGAAACTTAATGTGATCAGATATTACTGTTGTTATACTAATCTATGAGCTTAAACCATCAAAACACGATTTTGTGACTAGCCCAACTGACTCATTCTACGTTTAAACTCTGTAAATAGTTCCATGTAAGCGAAAAAGAACAGACCAATTAACCAGTAAGACAATCAAGACATCATGCCCGTGGCAAATAAATGATATCATTAACTTGCCCAACTCACAAATTCCGGTCACACGCAGGAACTATCTCGCCCATCGGAGATAAAGGTTTCCTTCACCCGGCTCCTTTCGCAAAAGTTAATTTCTCACCCTAAACGAGGGTCCGGCAAAAATCGCAAACGTCAGACGGGAGTATTCGAGGGGAACGCCTGGCCATCAAATAGGAGTTGAAAAGGAGGCGGTTATTAGGTGTAAGATAAAGGTCGGCAAACAGCTCGTTCTCGGGGCGGCGCACAGTGGATAGAGTCAATGAGACAGGTCGGACATGAAATTTTTGACTGAAACTGCAAATTTTGATGTCTATTTTGTCACATTTTAAATTTAAAGGGGTGGTTTAAGAAGAAAATTTTACGAGGAAACCAATGGAACCACTTTCAGAACCTCAAAATTTTGTATAAACGGAGTTATAAGCGTTTAAAGTTTCCAAATTTTGCCCGACCTCTCCGTACGGTTATTAGGAGGCGGTTATTGGGTGTAAGATAAAGGTCGGTAAACAGCTCGTTCTCGGAGCGGCGCATAGCGGATCGAGTCAATGAGAGAGGTCGGACATGAAATTGTTGACTGAAACTGCAAATTTTGATGTTTATTTCGTCACTTTTTAAATTTCAAGGGATGGTTTGAGAAGGAAATTTTACGAGGAAACTAATAAAACCACTCTTAGAATCTCAAAGTTTTGTATACACGGAGTTATAAGCGTTTAAAGTTTCCAAATTTTGTCCGACCTCCCCCATTGACTCGATCCACTGTGCGGTGGTGAGGCGGCCGGCGAGGCGGTGACGATACGCACCGTTCGACGGGATTAAAGGCGGAGATTAGTTTTTGTCTCTTTAAGCCGGCGACAAGATAGCGGGAGGCTGGGAGAGGCCCTCGTAAAAATCCTCGAGAATCGAGTCCGGGCCGCGGGCGGTCATCCCTGGGGATATTCGCCCCATGTTACGGCTATTGCACGCAAGGACCCGGCCACCAATCACGCGCAGCCCGTTGCCAAACCTACTCGTACGTGGGAATACGGGCCCTCGCAACGCATCTGCTGGTTCGTTAGTGGAAGCGATAGTCGAAGAGGTAAACATAAAAGTGAAGGGAAAATTGAGTGATCCTATTGGTTGTAACGGGTGATACTTATAAACTTTTTCTTCACTGGAAAAAAAACACATTGGATCTAGAGTCCAGACTCTTGAAAACATTGACAAGAAAAAATACTCTTGAGTCAATCAGATTTTTACTAAAATCAAAAGGAAATCCGCTCAAATTAAGAGGTTTGGCTCTTGATTTAACAAAAATCCGATTGAATCAAGAGTATATTTGTTCTTGTCGATGTTTTTAAGAGTCTGGACTCTAGATCTGATGTGTTTTTTTCCAGTGTTCAGTGCGGACTTTTTTCAGTGGTCTAGTGAGCCCATATGGTTCAACTAGCTGCAGTTCCATTCTGTCAAACCGTCGAACAAAATCTGGAAACTTAAAAAGGCTTCATTTTCGAAAATATGAAACAAAAAATTTTAAAAGTGGTTCCATCGGTTTTTTGTAAAATTTCCTTTCAGGAACACCCCTTGAAACAGAATTTGCGACGAAATAAACATTAAAATTTGAAATTTTAGTCAAACATTTCTTGTTCGATCCCTTCTATCAGCTTGCTTTACTGTGTGGCGTGGCGTGCTTTGCGATATATCGATTGATCTGCCATTTAAACCCATGGAAAAGGATCGATAAACAGGGTGTTCGCAACGAACACCTTAATAATCGATTCTCTACCATAGCTTCAAATGGGGAAATATCGATAGTCAATCTTTCACGCTTCACAACTGTCAGATTCTTGTAAGAGCTGAGAGCTTTTTTTTGCCTCGTGAGGGTGTAAATCCCCATCGAACCTTGACCTCTTCCGATTTTTCCGCGTCATGGGCGCGATCCGGCACCGTCGAGGAGTGGCGGTGAAATTGGTGAAAATACTCCCCTGCGGGAGACATTAAAAGGGAACTTGGAAGCCCCCGTTAAAGACTCGAAAGGCGCGTTGTAAATATTCCCGGGCAACATAAACCACACCCAACGACCGATCCACGATCCGAGAGCGGCCCCGAATCCACCGGAGCCTGGACAATTTAACGAAGCCCATTCATCAATCATCACTCCGGTGGCCTTCAGAACCCCCTGCCTCCCCCCCCCCCCCCCCCGCGCTGCGCCACGGGCAACAACAGTCGTAATTAAACAATCATCGCTCCGACTCCGACGAAATCTCGAATTTCAGGACCGAGGAGCTAATGGGCAGGCTCTAGGATTGAGTTGAGACATGGCCGTGAAAGTGGCTGGTGAAAGTGATAAAATTTGAACAGTTTTTTTACAAGGAACAGTGGTGGACACGAAGAAAAAAGTGGTAGGAGTTGTTGGATGATAGAGGCATTTCCAATATTAATTGTGCTAGTACCTCTATTAATTGTGGCAGTACTCCAATAAAGTGGGTTGCTAACCCAAATGCTACGGTACTACCACAATTAATTGGAAATGCCCGTATCATTCAACAAAGTGGGGTAGTACCAACATTTTAGGGGATAAACCCTAAAACTTTTTCCCTATAGAAATTGTTCGACGAAGCGGTCCGAAAATTTCACCGACTTTTCTTTGGGCTGCCTGTAAAGTTCAGTGAAATGTTCAAACATATTCAACCAACAATTTCTCTGTAAAAAAATAAAATGACGGTGGACATGTTGAAACGGCGCATGGCATGGCACTTGTGATACTTAGGCCGAAAGCTCTCAATAACGAGGTCATTTATGTTCCACTTTCACCAAGGTATGTACCTACAGATACTTACTTTTTTATTCGGCCTTGAGAGTATTTCCCGATCGAATAATTTATTATGCATCGAATATTTTCCCCGAACCAAAGTACGAGAATATTCAATTTACCCAATACAAGGTGACAAAACTTTAAATCCCGGCCCGAGAGTTGGAAGACTCGCTCATTAAGGCTTGGAGCGAAACTTGCTTGGCCCCGGAGTCAAAGCCAAGTTTCGGCCATGAAAGTACGAAGTAAGCTTCGTAAAACGTTCAAGGACTAATTTCGAGGAGAAAGGCGAGGGCCGCGGGGGATGAAAAAATCGCGAATGCCGGTCATAAAATAGATTAAAATTTGCATTAAGTCCCACTTAATCTTCGACCTGAGGCCCTGTCGGCCGTGGTCGGGGCTTTAATTCTATTATGTCGGTGTCTCCTTAAGACTGCGCCGGGCACCTTAATTGATGTAATAGCGCGGCGTTTATAATCTCCCGGGATCGGTGAGACAAAGGGATGGCCCTCGGCTCGAGATTGAGACCCCTGTTGGGAGTGTTGGGCTTTCAAGGAGCCTTTTCCGCCGTTTATCTGGCCGTCTCGCGGGTGTTGTCCTCCTCGATTCAATGCAAACATCAATTTTTTCCCCCGGCGACGCACAGTGGATTGAGTCAAGAGAAGAGCACGGAAAAGATGAAATTGCTGATTTAGGTAACAATTTTGTAGTTTAAAAAAAGTGTTCATCATGTTTCAATTTAGAGTTTACAATATAAAGAAGTGCTAATTTAACCACCTCCGTAGTTCAATTAGCTTTCCTTCATTGTAAAATGTACATTTGAAACATTTCTGACATATTTTCAACAATTTAATTGTTAAAGCAGCAATCAATCTTTTCCGTGAAGTCGGACACAATTTGGAAACTATAAAAGCTTATAACTCCGTTTATACAAAACTTTGAGGTTCAAATAGTTGTTTCTTTTGGTTTCCTCGTGTAATTTTCTTCTAGAAACACCCTTAAAATTTAATATGAGACGGAATAAACGTCAAATTTGCAGTTTTAGTCAAAAAGTTCATGTCCGACCTCTCTGATTGATTCGATCCTTTGTGCGACGTGTTTATGCCAAGAGGAACTGTGATCAAATTAATTAAATCAAAGGGAACTTTACGGGATAAAAATAAGGAGTCAGAGGGATAAACGGCCAATTCCGGATTTGGCCATTTTCCCGGAGAACGGATTTTCTGAAACTTTATACATTGCAAAGTATGTCGACGGTGCAAGTCGGCAATCACATAACTCGTTTGCGGTGTCTGAAAATTTCCGCCTCTACGTCATTTTTTTAAAGGAGAACAAATGGACATGATTCCTTGAAGTTTTTGCAGAATTTTCCTCGCACATAGAAGAAAAATCACGGAAGTTTTAAAGAATTACCGTTGAGTAGTTTTCCGTTTAAAAAATAAAGTATGACAGGAAGTCTGCGACGTCGCAAACGGAGTTATGTGATTGCCGACTTTCACCGTCGATGTGTAAAAAATTGCATTTTTTTTAAAAACACATTTCATTTTAGTATTTTTCACAACTGTAAATTCTTTATTATTCAAATTGTTTTATTTAAATTTTAGGTACAGCCATAGACTAGTGTATTTCCAGTCCAAAGAGTCAATTATGTAAAGTAGGAGCTTAGTACATGTAATAAGCGTTTCGTAATGTGACTTGAGACGTTAATAGCCTGAATCGCTGAATGTTTTAAAATTATAATAACTAACTAACTAACTGTCTGTGTAACAGGTCCTTTAATGGAAGAATGGCCAAACGAAGATATTAACGTTTTCATTTCACATTGGTTACAAGGAATTTGAACTGCCCGCTCACAAGAAACTCAAAACTCCGCGTGAGTCAAATCGCGCACCACAACGGTTTCAGCAAGCTTCTCAATCGAGCAATGTTCAATTTCCACCATGTGATGTTCAAACATAAGCAATTTGCTATAGCTGAGCCAAAGCGTCAAGATTGAGGTTGATTTTCACATCGCAGAGGCTGTCATGATAACGTTTAGCGCGCGATGCGAATCAAGTAGAGCATTGAGTTTTCATGAGCGGGTGGTTTGAGCCCGCACTAAGAATCATTAAATATCTTCGTAAGGTATTGATTTCGGTAATTTTCGTCGTGCGCATCGTGTTTTACATGAAATTTTGGTTAAGAAACATGTATCAGAATGCTGAAATTCGTACCTTGTCTAGTGATCCATTAACTCATGTAGAATTCTTACATGAGGTTACGTTAGTTTGTTTCGGTTTGAACCAAGAGTTCGATATAATATGGAATGACGTAGCCACTAAATCAGTCTATTGGGTGGCCGGTTCTGTCGATAACTATCCACATTTGGAGCCACGTTTTGGCAGCCGAGCGGATGAGCGCGACACGCGAAGGCGCCGCTCGACGAGATTAATTCGACTGGAGGGATGAGCCCGGCTGCTCCATTGCGTCATGTCACCCGGGGAGCGGAGTGTTCTAACACGGGATGAAATGGAGCATCGACTCATCCGATTATTTCGCCAGGCGGCGCCCCGTGCGTGCTTACACTCATTACGCAGTCATAAACTCCTGATCCGGCACCAAGAAGCCTACCTAACAGTCATCCGCTTACTCGGCCTATGTCTGACTCCGCCGAGTTAACTGCCGAATCGGTGATTAACTCGCGAGAGCTCTGTTTTCACGCCGATGCGACGACCTGTGGAGGTTTGTGCGGGAACTTGAGTTGGACGTATTTGTGCTAAAAGGAACTATGTGCATAGGGTTTGTGTGTGACATAGTTTCTTTTAGCACATATACGTTCAGTTGCGCCTCAATAGAGGGCGTGCGTAAAGAGTTTTATTGGTTTCACTGCCCCTCACCCAATTTTTTTGGTGAGGACTTGTAAAAAATAAGGCTGTTGTAAACTTCAGCTGGAACTAGAGTCCCTTCATACTAAGAGTCAAGACAACACCCCTTCATGGAGTCACAAACGGGAATAAAGATTACAAAAATTGAACGTTTTTTGTAATCTTTGATCGGACCATTCCCAAATTCCTTTCTCCGTTCCTTCTCTCATTCCGTTTGTTCCTTGCCGAATCCGTAATTCCCTGGTCCATTCCAGATTATAATCTTTGCAATCGGTGAAAATGTTATCTTTATTCCCGTTTGTGAGACTGTGAAGGCCTAAAATACGGGAACCAATCAGAAATGGATTCACATTGTCTTGACTCTCAGTATAAAGGGACTCTAGCTGGAACAAGAGGAAGAGTTATTTTTAATAGAAAAAGGCTCAAAAATTACGATGAGCGCATTAGAGAAGTCTGAAATACACTCCTGACTTCACAATCTCTCTAAGTAATATGCGTTTTTTTAAAGCCTCCCGCTTCATTAACAATACTACGTAATAAATGAACATTTCTAAAGAGGAGTAGTTCCATCCAATCCTCGCGCACTAGGATGCTACGCAATATTGTACATGACCGACGCCGCAATGCTAATGGCTTGTATGATTTGATTACACTATAAAAGTCTTCTTCAACCGTCGATCCTTTAGCGTAAGGCCATATCTTCATTTTCACGCGAGCTCTGACTTCCATAAAACTCCATACTCTCCGCGGCTAACGTTAACATAGAGACACACTCTTACGTCAGAGGAGGGACGAACTGACCCTTTTTAAATTCGGAGATGCAATCCTATAGTACGCTTAACAAATCATTCGAAATTACGTCTTACTTTTTGTCTTCAAATCCTCTGACATAGACATACATGGATACATCCATTCATTCATTCCCGTTAAACATCACCCAAAAATTTAGCAGGATATCATCATAATTTATGAGAATAAAGTCATGAAGAATTTTTGAGAATTTCTATATTTAAGACATATATGAGAATACTTACGTTCAGGTACCAAAAAATCTTGTTTTCGCGAGGATTGGCACGAATGATGCACTCGAAGTAAACATCGTCTCCCTCTTTGATGTCTTCTCCGTTCAGAGTGCTCCCCAGATGCAGCGACACCCTCGGTCGATCTGTAACAACATCAAACCACAATTATTTCCACCATTTTCGTGACTCAATGAACAAAACAGAAATTTCAACCGTAAGAAATTTGGACGTATCTATGCTGAGAGGAACTATGCGCATATACGTTGCGTACAACAAGGTTCCTTTTAGCATAATTGCGTCTATTTTTTCCCTTAGCAATTTAATTTACCGATGGAAAGAAGCACATGATTTAACTTGACATGGGACATGTCTCCTTGCCGCTACGCAGCGCATAACGCGCATTGGCGCCTACAAACCTAACAGGGATACTTCACGCATTGCATGCGTGAAGTATCCCTGTTAGGTTTGTAGGCGCCAATGTGCAGATCGCACTGGTCGCCCGCAGCGCCGCGCCGCGGCGCGCACCGTCGTCCCAGAATATGTTTTGCGGCCTCGAAAGGTTGCTCCCGGGTAATATTTCAAAAATTGAAAGAAAATGGGCTTATCTAGAGCTTTACCCGCTAATTGGTGCGAAAATCATGCTGCAAAAAATTGCTGTGAGGTGAAGGTTGAATTAAAACATTCAATCACATAAGTCTAACATCTGATCATAGAGTACCTAGAGTTGTAATGTAAGTGGGAGAGCTGGCGCCACTTTTAAGTAATTTCCAGGACCCGAATTCCGAGATTCCTGAGCGGCGCCGGGTCCCTTTTTCGATACATAATCGATTGAGTGCGATACACGGGGACCCGGCCATATTCCACACCGCCATTTTGGATCGAATATGTATCGAAAAAGTGACCCCACACACCGGGCTCGGAACTCGTCGAGCAGAACATGGCGCCAGCTCTCCCACTTACATTACGACTCTACGTACTCTATGCATCTGATTTGACGACAACCGAATAGTTTGATCGATATGGAACACAAACTTCCATTCATGTAACCGAAATTTTTAAGGGTATAGCTCTCTCATGGTTTAAATTCCCTAAGGCCTTGTCTCCACGGGACGTTTCACGAGATTTTACCCGCAAGTTCGGGTCGTAGGAATGAAACTTCTGGGCTTTTTTCCCGTTAAATAACACAACGAAATTTCTTTTTCTTCTTTTTAAGTCGTTCCTGGGACTTCGCAAGGTCTCTTAGCTGGTACTGTGATTAGTATTGACGAACTCGATATTTTTCGCACACTGGAAAAAAAAACACATTGGATCTAGAGTCCAGACTCTTAAAAACATCAACAAGAAAAAATACTCTTGATTCAATCGGATTTTTGCTTAAATCAAGAACCAAGCCTCTTAATTTGAGCGGATTTCCTTTTGCTTTAAGCTTAATTCTGATTGAATGAAAAGTATTTTTTCTTGTCAATGTTTTCAAGAGTCTGGACTAGATCAAAAGTGTTTTTTTCCAGTGCAACTTCGCAAGTGAGATTTTTTCCTGGGATGGATCCCATGAAACGTCCCGTGGAGACAAGGCTTTTTTTCTTAATTTCCCGGATTTTTACTATTGCTTGCAACCCCGCGGCACTACATTAGCAAAACCGACGCCTTGGCGGTATGCAACCCTCAAGATCTCACCGACCGAACCGGGTCATCGATTTCCGCGCGGTCAAAACACTCCGACGCTCTAATGACACGCGCGAAAATAAATTCGCGATTCGCAATCCGCGATCAGAGCGTCGCGTCACCGCGGCTCCGGATGGAGCGAGCGATGTGTTTAATTTGCGACTTTGCCCGGAGGACCCGAGGGTGGACGCACGGAGGGGGGGGGGCAAGGGGGTGCNNNTAGAAAGGAGGCGAGGGGGTGGGGGAGGGGTGACCGCAGTGTAGCCCAATTCTCTCGCCTCAACGGGTCCGCGGCGGCACTCGAAACTCCGCAACGACGCACGCAGTTTTAGACTGTTGGTTTTGCTAATTGCATACCTGCAAAATTGCAGGCGACCGACCTCGGGACTTCCGCGCCATTGCGCCTTCCGGAAGTCCCTGCTGATCTCGACGGGGGTGTGATCGGATTTTAAGGCCATGGATTATCGTCCGCGGGGTTAAAAGTTTCTTGGGATTTCGACATTTTTTGCATTTTCCCACATATATCGAACATTTAGGCAGAAAAATACTTCCTACTAGAAATTTTAGAGCGAACAGTTCCTTAAAATTGGAGACACGAATATTGGACTATAACACATGTTATGCGGAGTAACAATGACAGACTCATGGAGGAAATTGTTTTTTCTCCCATTCTTTTTTTCAAATTTTAACGCAAGACAAGTTCAAGATTGTGATACACATTTCAAAAATGAACTCATAAGTGAAAAGTTAATGTTCCTAGTTAACATTATAAAAAGTAAATCCAAACTTCCCGCTATTGAAGAGACCATAATCAATGGAGGTAAAATTAGTGTACTTTCTCCTCCTCCGACCCGGTTAGAGAGAAGCAGGAAAATTCTTCTATTATAACACAGACCAATATGAGTTAAGTCCTTGATTTGACTAGAAAGGCTTTAATGTTTCGGTAGCAGGAAGTGAAAATTAACGTACACAAAATCCATATTTTTTCAAGTATCAAATGATTAAATCCTTCCCTCGTATTTTCCCTAAATTTTGATAAGGAGTCGTGTATTTCCTGTGGTGCAAAACGTAATCATGTCTAGTTGCAATCCACGAAAATCGGAGGACAATATTGAGAAGTAAGGTTTTTTTTCCCATATTTTCCTTACTTTCAAACTGATTTATATACCTTTGCCATGCATATCATATCGTATAAGATAAATTCATAAGAGTAACGCGTAGAATATAACGTCTGAGGCGCGAAGCGCTTTAGGGGGTTAGACAGTGAAGCGGTGAAGGGGCGCAGCGAGCCCCCTAGGAAATGTAAGAAGAACTTAGTAAAATACAAGCACAAAATTTCAGTGAACGGCTAGCTACGAAAAATGGTAAGATTTGCCTTCATTCCTGCTTGATATACTTCAAAACCACATTGGAGCGCGAATAGTTGCGCCTTCACCGTTGCGATGCAGATAGTAGGGATTGATGTCGAAGTTTACGAAAGACGTGTCAAAATTCCACTTTATTTTGGCAGAAAACCGAATCGTGGAGAATGCAAAAATTTAAACTCCTACGCTTTGTCTTTTCCTCACAAAAAAGTAACATATTATAAATTGCAACAACGTCATAACATTCTTAAACTTCAAAAAAAAGTATGTTAAAAGCAATTAATTAATTAATTTCGTGAACCCTAAGGTCACGCCGAGGCTGAGATTATTGTAGAGAACTAAGAATGATCATGACACAGCTTGAAATAACACACGCTTCAGCCAATTATCGATAAATTTCACTACAATTCAAAAATTAAAACCCTTGAAGCTTTTCAAGAGGCACTTGAATCAACTCAGCACTTTTGCGTTGTTCGCGGCGGGCTGAAATCGTTGAACAAAAGAGAGTTCTCGAAATTCATTTCCAGTCGGAGACCGAAAGAGGTGATGATAAGTTGGAGAGTCAATGAGGTATCGGGGCACATTAATTAAATGCAAAAGTAACTTCAGGGCGTCCCTCTGGAATCCTCGGAGCTATGATGGAGGTGAAAAGTATTGGTGATTCCTCGTTTGGGAATTCGTTTACCCCAGCAGCAGGAATTCTTCAGCTCAAGGGCACTCCAATTTATGTCCAATTGAATTCAATCATTTTCCCCCTCGACACTGCGACATTTTTCATTCTCTTTCCTGCCTCTTGTTTGTGACGTTCGAAAAAAGTAAAGGGAATTGAGCTGAATCTGTTTTTATTACCTAAATCAGGACACACAACATTGCAATTGGACGTATTTCTGCCTGACGGAACTATGTGCATAAAGACATGAGCCCTGAGACCCATAAAAATATATGCATGACAGGACTCACGTCATAATGCACATAGTTCCGTTTGGCAGAAATAGTCAAATTCTGATTTTTCCATCTGCTTGATCACTTTTAGAAAATTTTCGAGGAGAAAAAAGGTTTCGACTTTTGAAAAATTTCCCAGAATGATCAGGCGGAGTGAATAATCCGAATTGCAATAAATATATAATCAGTTAACATGTAATTATGGGATCTCCTATTCTACAAGTGGGCACATGATAAGTCGATGTTTTTAAAGGACTGACAATCACTTGAGTTCCGTTATTCTGCTGATTGCTTTTATTTCATTCCTCTCATTTGTGACTATTTTTTAAAAACGTGATTGCAACATAAAGGCAAATTATTTTAACTTCAATAGGTGACCTTTAAAATGCAACAAAATACACACAATTCACGACTTTTCTGAAAGAAAACGTGGCCCTTTTTGACGAGAATAGGTTAACGGTTACTGCCGTGGCACGGAATAAGGGAGCAGCATATGCATAATGGCCGTATGTGCAAGAGCTGTAAATTATTACTCGCGGTGCTCAAAGAATAGGGGCATATGCAGTAATAAAGTTGAATTTTGAATATTTACGAGAACGAAAGACGAGAGAGGATAAAATTCCAACCCGCACTTAAAAAGTTATACAATACACATGCTGCTTCTGCGTTTCGCTCAGAAACTTGAAAAGCCCATTTTCACATACTGTTGCACAAATGCACGCCAGTATGATACGTGGCTCTGCCAGCGATTGACTTTATTACTCAGCCTTAACGTGTTAAATCGATGACTTCAGGTCGATTACTCAGTCGTTGATCTTTATGGATAGCCTATCTTAAAAATATTGTACTTATTCGATCGTTATTCGACAATTAAAAAATTAACCTGCAGTCTGCACTTTTAATAATCGGTCCACAATGCGCCTTCATTTTTTTGCATACGCAATATGGATAGCTAGTGGGTTCGAATAGTTGTATCTTCCGCCTGAATTGTTGAATCATTGCCGCGTGACCTCGATGGAAACATCTCTATTTTAGAGATGCTATTTGGACCGCGTTTGGCAGAAAGGAACCAAACCACAACAGCCATTGCCAAATTTAATTTTTATTTTTTTACGAGAGCACGTTTGTACGGATTCCTTCGAAAATTTTAAGGAACTTGTTTCGTGCTAGGCAGA